TACTATATTTTGGTTAATTAAATTTAAATTATAAAAAATGATTTGGAAAATACTCCCAATCATCCTCTGAAGAGTTTGTGTAAGATTATTTATTTCTTAAATGTTTTAAATAAGCCCATCTTTTAGGAGAATTTTCAATAAAGAATTTACTAATTTTGTTTCACTGTAGCCAGATAACATACTTTGTATTATTTCAGTCCTTTTAAATTTATTGAAACTCATTTTATGGCTTAGTGTATGGTCTCTGCTGAAGAATTTTTTTTTTAAGATTTTATTTGTTTATTTGACAGACAAAGATCACAAGTAGGCAGAGAGGCAGGCACGGGAGAGGGAGATGCAGGCTCCCCGCTGAGCAGAGAGCCTGTTGCGGGGCTCGATCCCAGAGCCCTGGGATCATGACCTGAGCCGAAGGCAGAGGCTTTAACCCACTGAGCCACCCAGGAACCCCTCTGCTGAAGAATTTGTTGTATATATTTGAGAATAATGTATATTCTGCTAGTCTAGAGTGTTCTGTAGATGGTAGATCTAGTTGATTCATAGTGTAGTTCAAGTCTTCCATTTCCTTGTTGACCTTCTGCCTTGATTGTTCTATCCATTGTTGGAAGTAAAGTACTAAAGTCTCCAACTAATATATTGTAGGAGTTTTTCATTCTCATATTGTGTGAGTCAGGATTCTCCAAGGAAACAGAAGCAAAAGAACATGTGTATGTGTATATGTGTGTGTGTTTATACACATAAACACATATATGGAGAGAGGGAAATTTTAAGGAATTGGCTCATGCAATTGTGGAAGGTTGGTGAGACCAAAATCTGGTGAGGTAGGCTGGATACTCAGGGAAGAGTTGTAGTTCAAATCCAAAAGCAGTCTATTGGCAGCATTCCGTCTTCCTTATGGGAGGTCAGCCTTTGGTCCCTTAAGGCCTTCAACTGACTGGATGAGGCCCGCCCACATTATGAAAGTCAAAGTCTATTCATGTAAATGTTAATCTCATCCATAAAAACCTCATGGAAATGCCCAGAATAATGTCCCACCAACATCTAGGCTGCATGGCTGAGCCAAGTTGACATACATAATTAACCATCATACGTACCTTTTCACAGCCCCCCTCTAGCAATTTGTAAAAGTTCCCATTTAAGTGTTCTTTAATTGGTCTTCCCTTCAGACTTTGTTATTCTTTATTACAATTATAAACCAGGTTATAGAATTAGAAAAACCCTGGGGTGCCTGGGTGGCTCAGTTGGTTACATGTCAAACTCTTGGTTTCAGCTCAGGTCATGATCTCACTGTCATGAGATAGAGCCCACAGAGGCTCCTCATACTCAGTGCAGAGTCTGCTTCAGATTCTCCCTCTCCTTCCCTGCTCACACTCTCTCTCTCAAGTAAATAAATAAATTCAGTTCAAATCAATTCAAAGTTAGCCCTTCAACTTCTTATCCCTTTGTCTTTAAGCAGTTCTACCTAAGTTTTCTCTATGTTATGAATTAGGAAATTAAAGCCATTAAGGCTAACTGATTTGTCCAGGGTAATAATGCATATTAGAACTATTTGAATTCTTGTCCTTGTACACAATTCACTATAAATAATGTATTGAATTTGATAGTAATAAAATATACCTTACAGGTGTTTTAACTATGTATGAGAATTTCATTTCTTTGAGAATGACAGGTGTATATTTTATTTAAACACTATATAATTAGTGAGATTGCTTGCTGCCTTTTAGTTCTAGTTATGTTTTAGACTAACCACCTTTGTCCCTAAATTTTTCAGTTTGCAAGCATGTGTAGATAGCAGGGGTAGTCTAAGTAAGATGTCAATCACATGTATAAGGCATAGTGATCATTGATGAGAGGAATCTTAAAAGAACATTTAATTTAGTGCCATTTTAGGGAAGGAGAGCCCACAGCTTCTTTTAATAATGTTTACTTTATTAATGACTTTTGCTGGAAGAAAAATGTTTCTTCGTGGAAATCCTGAGAAAGTTTCTTCTGAGCTATATTATTTCGGAACACCCTCATAAAAAAACAAGTAGATACTGGCTGAAAAATAGATACAGCTGAAAGTTTGAGCCTAATTTTCATATAGGAGAGTAATCTAATGGCTTGGGATGGAGATTTTTATTTCATTTGCATTGTAGGAGGCAGTATAATGTAAATCAAGTTAAATCTAAGTTTAAATTTCAGTTCTGCCACTTAATAATGTATGACTTTGGCCAAGATATTTAAGTTTTTTGGATTTCACTACCTCCTTTTTCATAAGGTTATGAAAGGCTTAAATGATACACATGTAAAGAGAACCTAACATAGTCCTAGATACCTTACAGGAACTCAGCAAATATTGGTGTCATCCGTTTTTTCTGTATTTGTATGTTGGAAAATGGGAATGTTGACAAGGAATAAGACTGGAATCATTTCTCCTTGCCCTAGGGATGTATTTCCTGGCACTAATGAGAATGATATATCTCTTCAAATGCTTGCTCTACTGATAGTTAATACCTTATAATAAAGTGTGATTTTTTTTTTTACCTCTTTACTTTTATATAATTTGACCTTTAAAAGAAAGACTATACCAGGACTCTTACAAGATAGATGTATTTGTATTGAAAATATATTAAATGTCACAAAATATAGTCTTAAAATTTGAAGGGAATAACCATGAAGATCACCTGGTCCTTTGTGTTTCCTGGGGCAGAATTCCCTTCCATGAACTTCTTGAACTAGATGTGTATCAACACTCTGCAAGAATAATTTCAGTAATTATGATCTTACTTCCTCTAAAGACCATCATTCTGATTTTAGAATGCTCCATTAAGGCACCTGGGTGGCTCAGTGGGCTAAGCGTCTGCCTTCAGCTCGGGTCATGATCTCGGGGTCCTGGGATCGAGTCCCACATCGGGCTCTCTGCTCTGTAGGGAGCCTGCTTCCTCCTCTCTCTCTCTCTGCTTGCCTCTCTGCCCACTTGTGATCTCTCTCTGTCAAATAAATAAAATCTTTAAAAAAAAAAATAGACTGCTCCATTAATTAGAATGTTCTTCCCTATTTTTTCCTTTGCTCTCCTTATAATTCTGCCCTTGCTCCTTATTACCTGTAGAGCTTCACAGAATAAACAGCTTTGTTCCACAGGTTCCACAGGAACCATATCTTAGTCATTTTTTTATCTCATAGGATAGTAAGTACCCAACTCAAAATAGGGTTTTATTTAATGAATAGTTAAAGTTCAGATTTTTTTAAAGTACTTCTGTATTTTTTTATATATAAACTTTAAAATTTAGTCAACATTTTTTATTTCTCTTGGTCAAAAATTATTTTTTTCAACTGTATTGACAAAATTAAACAAGGAATATTGATTTATGCTTATGTATAATACCACTTATATAATCTAGAAATGAATGGCTTTTTCCAAGGAAAGAATTAAAAATTAAATATTATTTACATCTCTTTCATTCATTCCTTCTTGTAGCATAATCTGTTTCTGAAGATTGAAAACATTACATTTTTAAAAATTTCTTATACTTTATTTTGTAGTGTCTTTTGCACTCATTACAGACAACATTGTCTGTAATGTTAATGCTCTACTTCACTGATTCATCAGACTGTACAAAAATAACCAACATCCAGCTATATGATACTTAAGAAGAAGATCTAAAACCTAATGATAAGGAAAAATGGAAAATAGAAGGGCAAATTTATGCCATCCAAACACTAAGAAAGCTATTTAGTTACAGTAACTATGAATCAAAAAAAGTTAAGGGGAAAAAAGCATTAATAGAAATAAATGGAGTTATTTCATAATTATAAAGGGTTCATTCACCTAGAAGCTATAACAATTCTAGATATATATTCACATTTTCTGTGATTTTTTTAAACTTGCTCTATATTTTATTGCTTCCATTTTTTAAATTTTATTTTTTCAGTGTTCCAAGATACATCATTTATTCACGACACCCAGGGCTCCATGCAATCAATATGTGCCGTCCTTAATACCCACCACCAGGCTCACCCAACCCCCTACCTCTCTCCCCTCCCAAACCCTCAGTTTGTTTCTCAGAGTCCACAGTCTCTCATGCTTTGTTTCCCCCTCCGATTTCCCCCAACTCCCTTCTCCTCTCCTTCTACTAATGTCCTCTGTGTTATTTCTTATGCTCCACAAGTAAATTAAACCATATGATAATTGACTCCATTGCTTCCATTTTTTTAATTGAATGCTCTCTTCCAAATTTCATACCATCAGCAAATTTTTTAGAAACATTTTTCTTCATTATCTTTATTCAGCTGATTTCTCACATAAAGTAAATGACTCCCTTATTAATACTAATCTTTATAGCAATTGATTTGTGCTTACTGGCTTCTTTTGTTATCCAGTTGTCTTTATGTCTGTTCCTATCTGACTAAGGGACAACAAGAATATTGGCTAATTGTTGTGAAAGATATTTGATACTAAATTATATGGAATTACCATACATAAGAACATAGTTGCAGTGGATGATATAGTTTACAATCTATTTCTTTAGAATTCTATAGCTATGGATTTTGATACCAACTACCTTGCCCTTCATTTTTGCTTCTTGTGGCTTATTGTTGCGTTTTGGCTTATGAATAATAGGTACATGTTTGAATGCTTACATTTGCATAAGTTTTCCAGGTACTTATTCCTCAGAGTGCAGGAACAATCTTTCAGGAGTCACATAACAATGTGTAAGATATTACTATATATCTTACTACATATCTTGACACAGTATCAATTCTTGTTCATTTATTGATGCAGGAAAACATCTACCAGGTATCTAGTCTTTGATAAGCCTTATTAGCAAAATATAATAAAACTATATTTTATTGAGCAGAATCATGAATCATGAATTCTCACCTACTCTTTTTCTCTTTCCTAAGAAATACAAGCATTTAATTCATTTCTTATAATGGGGAAGAGGGAGAGCATTTCCTAAAGAAACAGAGGCATCATTTTAATTATAAAATGAATTAATGGAAATCTTTAAACTTTTCAGGATGAGAGAGATCCAGAGAAAGAAGATGAACTGGAACTGAAAAGAGGTCTTTTATACAGAGACTCTGCTTATGACAGTGACCCAGAGTATAGGTATGAGCTGGATTAATGCAGTGTGTTGAGATCTTTCTCACAGTTGGCATAATATAACCTTTTTAACCTGCCTGGATTTGTGGGAAATTTAGACTCAAATTGATAATTATTTATTAGTAAGTTTTATTTTTAACTATATAAAATCCTATCAAAATACTTTAATGATTTCATTACTGCAACTTTTCAGTGAAAACAAATATAGTCAATTAAGGGTGATACTGTCCATTTTACTTAAGATTTTTTGGGTATTTGACTGTCCTGCAAACCCACATATCCAGGGCTTATTTTCAGGTATATTTATTCTCATTCAAACAACAGTTGCCATAATTTTGGACCATGAGTGAGCTTATTTTTAATAACACAAGAAAAACTGTTCTTCTAGCCTAACATTTCAGAAATGTTAGTAATAACAAAATTTTTACAAGATTTTGCTAGCAAATGTCATGAAGATTTTTTAAAGCTCTGTGTCAGTTGCCACAGAATGTGATATTAAAAGCTGAGTGTAAATTGTGAGTTTAAGTAACTGAAGGTTCTCTGCATCCTTTGGTGTTATACCACTGATTACCACATGGCTTCCACCTTCTGAGTTTCCTGAAAAACAAGTATAAGAAAAAAAAAAGCTCCAGATAATGGAATATGTCTTATTGCTAACTTGAGTTTTGGACTGAAGTTTCTGATCTTTACCCTGATAAGTTAGGCTAGATATTCTGTGAACATGTAAGGACTTCTCTTGCCCCTTACACAGAGTATAAATGTGAACTCCTTTCCCAAAGCTACTGCTTCCCAACCAACAGGCAACCTGGGCCTCCCATCAAGGGAGTAGCATATTACAGACGAGTTTGAAGAAACAATCCAAACAGGAAAAAGGAGATCCAAGAAAGTTCACACCTCAAGGGAGAAGACTTTTTACCTTTTATTATTACTATTATTTACTTAAAGATTTAGTCTCCAGATTGCTACTATATGGATTAGCCTCTCAATTTTAGTTCTTAATCTATATAATTGATTCTAATTTGGGTAAGAATGGATAGGGTTGGTAAAGGAAAGTGATTTTCATACTTTTCGTATGAATAATAATTACCTGGGTTGCATCTTAAAAACATAGAGTTCTCCTTTCTACTCCCTTAGATTCTAAATCTTTACATAGAGGGGTGAGACCTAGAAAGCTGCATTTTAAGAAATATCATGGATGCTCCTAATGCAGCTAGTGTAAAGACCACATTTTGAAAAGCACTGGTCTGTATTTAAAGTTCGCTGTAAACCTCAGTATTGGTTCTTTTTCCAGTTCACCAAGCAATGTTACTGGCTAAGCTTTTGATTACCTGAGACTGTTTTGGTACCCCTCAGGTAAGAGTTAAGCAGAGTATCAAAAAAGTTCTGCTTACACATTTTTTTGAGATTCATTATATTCCTTGCCAGTTATCTTATATACACATTTTTTAAGATTTTTTTATTTATTTATTTGACAGAGAGAGAGATCACAAGTAGGCAGAGAGGCAGGCAGAGAGAGAGAGAAGAGGAAGCAGGTTCCGCACTGAGCCAAGAGCCCGATGTGGGACTCGATCCCAGGACCCTGGGATCATGACCTGAGCCGAAGGCAGAGCCTTAACCCACTGAGCCACCCAGGCGCCCCTTATATATACATTTAGACTGATAGAACCGAGTGGTCAGAACTTCAAGACCTCTTTTATAAGAATATATTTTATATTAGCTCCAGAAGCTATTGAAATGATCAGGATATTATTTTAGTTTTATCCCTAAGACATATTAAATATTCAGCCAAGGAATCACTCTCATTCTACTTTCCATCTCAAAGATAAGAGAACATGCACTCGAAGTCATCACCCATTGGCTTGCCTTAAGGCTTCCATCAGCAGACAACAAGAGGTGATTTGGGCTCTTGGCTTAATATCACCCCTCTGCAGACACAAATTAACACAGAGGTCCTAAGGAAGTCTGCATGGACCCCTGGAATGGCTGAGTGAGGAGCTCAACAAATCCTCTTCCCCAAAGCAACAACTAGACAGAAGTGTCAGAAACAATAATTTTAAGACTCTAAAAATTGAAAGGCATATAACAAATTGAGAAGCACTTATCAAGAAAATCTACTGAACCTCAGTAAGGGCAGTAGGAATCTGTGGCACTTTGCCCAGAACTCCTGGTTCCCAGCTCCTTGGGGCAGTCCTGCTGAGAGAGCTGCAGTGTGGCTGCCAGAGGAGACGGGCTATATGGAACAGAGCATGGGAAATCCCATGTGCACGGAGATTAATAGAAACAACAATGATCCCACCGGCAAGCAGTAAGGAAGGCTGAGATCTACCTACTTGTTGGTACAGATAAAGATCCAGGGACCAGGTAACCAGAGTTGGTCTTGATAAAGTTGTACTTACTCTAGTAGTCTGGAACATTATGTTTATGTGTAGGGGTGTAAATAAGTCCAGGAGAAACTGGAGAGGCCCTTAGGGAGCCACTAGTCCATGGCTGAATGTGAGGCCTTGTGAAGGCAGAAAGTAATATCCAGGGCAGGCTTGCAAACTGGATAAACTTTGAATCTATATTCCAAGTCACACATAGATCCATTGGCAAAAGATGGAACAAGCCTTTCTGACCAATCAGTTGCTAGTCACCAACCTATGCTAACCCAGGGGCAGCCCCTAAGAGTACAAGCTTAAAAGTAGAAACAATCATTTTTTTTAAAAAGAAAAGGAAAAAGAGACATACAGGGCAAGGGAAACAGACTTCAGGCATTAGTCCAGGCAGGATATTAAACGAATAATCAAAAACAAAACCCTGGTAAGGTCAAAATCCAGAGTCGTTACAGTTTTTATCTAAAATATTGTTTTCAATAAAAAATTGTGAGACACACAAGAAATAGGAAAATCTAACCCATACAACTGAAGAATGAATTACTATAAACTGTCTTTGAGAAGGCTTGGATATTGGATTTAGCAACTGTGTTCAAAGAACTAGAGATCCTGTTTAATGAATTAAAGGCATGTATAATGGCAGTGACTCTTCAAATAGAGAATATTGATAAAGAGATAAAAATTATTTCTTTCATGTTTTGCTTCAAAATTATGCCTAGGACTCCATGATTGATCTTATGATCTACATGTGCACTGTGGTTATCATCCATGGAGCAGAGCAGAGAGGCCGTGCTTTCTGTAGGAGGAGCAGAATGGGAAATTGGAGTGCCTGTTACTGTACACGGCAGCCTGTGCATGCTAGCTGTCCTAGGTCTTCTGACATCTTTGGGTATAAAATTCATTTGGAAGAAATCTCTTTTATCAAGGAGTTGTTAAGTAATCTTTTACTTAAAGTGCTTTGGGGTCTGGAGCCGGAGTTTGGGAAGAACTTTCGACCTGTGCTGACCTCCCTCTCTCTTATGTGTTGCCTATATTTTAGGAAATTTTAGACCTTCACGGGATAGCCTTGCCAGTGCCCAGGGTCCTAGTGTGCTTTTTAGTACCTGCTCTGTATAGCTCAGATTTCTTCAGTTTTCAGGGTGTTTAAATTTCTCCATATTGTCGTGTACTTCTGGCATAACTGTCTTACTTGAACATTGTTCCTAATTAAAGACCAGGCATGAGTGATCCTTCATATAGATGGGAGTTGGTCACAAAAAGAGAGAAGTAAGGATAAAAATAATTTTAAGTTCATCATTAAAATGTGAATTGACCTGTTATGACTATTGTCTGAAATTTTTAACCATATTCTTTTATGGAACTAGCTAGTGATATAAACTGTTTTCTATTTATTTATGCATATTTTTCAGGTTATTAAGAGTAGAAATATGCTTGATATAATGTTTTAATTATGAAATTATTTGTAACTGAGTAGTTTAAATTTTGACTGTATATATTTTTTTATCTTTATAGATTCCAGTATAGTTAATATACAGTGTTATCTTAGTTTCAGGTGTACAATATAGTGATTCAGTAATTCTTTGCTTCGCCTGGTGCTCATCACATGTGCACTCCATCATTCCATCATTCCCATCGCCTATTTCACCTATCCCCCACCCCCTCCCCTCTGAGTATTTTTGAATAACACAGGCTTGACTCTAGTTTTCATCTCTTCCCTATTGGTCACTATTTGATTAATCTGATGAATCTACTAAGATATAATAACAGCCAAAAGGCTGTCTTTAATATTTAACAAATAGAAGAAAAAATCTAAATAATATACAGACTTAAAATCTCTTAAATAACTAAGAATAAACCTTCATTTTTAAGTGAGATAAATGTTACTTGATTCTAATTTGAATTCACTGGATCTTGTGTTATTAACTCAAGTATCTTAAAATCCTTTTTCATTAAATACTTAAGGTTGAACTTTTCTTTTTAAATAAATTTTGTCTAGGGGCACCTGTGTGGCTCAGTGGGTTAAAGCCTCTGCCTTCAGCTCAGGTCATGATCCCAGGGTCCTGGGATTAAACCCCACATCTGGCTCTCTGCTCAGCAGGGAGCCTGCTTCCTCCTTTCTCTCTGCCTGCCTCTCTGCCTACTTGTGATCGATGTCTGTCAAATAAATAAATACAATCTTTAAAAAAAAAGTTTAATTAAATTTTGTCTAGAAGGTATATTGATATTCAGAAATATTGGGGGTGCTGCATATTTTTGTGATTTTTCAAAGTGTCAAGATTGCAGCTTAGGAGTCTAGAAAATTCTCTGATGATTAAGACAGGGCAATGTTGTAATCATTTTTTAAAACAAAAATATGACCTTGGTAATTAGACTTAATATCGATGCAGGGCATGTCCAATGTTCCAACTTGTTGCCTGCTTAAAAAATACTACTAAGCAACCGGAATGGTTTTAGGACTACCAAATCTTGGCAGACTGATTTAATTTTTTAAATAGATCATGAGAAAGTAATACATTAAGTACAACTTTCAGTAAGAATTATGATTTTATGACATTCTCATAAACAACTAGGCAGTTATGGTCTGAACTAATGTTAGGTGGACTGCTGGTTGGATGATGACATGGAAGAGACTAT